AATTGATTATTGAAGGGTCCCAAAGGGCCATGTAGTGAATATTATATCAACTATAGCTTGTTACCTATCAAATGAAAGGTCTCCTCTTGAATTTTACGAACATTAATTTTTGAAGGGTCCCCAAGGGCCACATAGTGAAAATCAACTTTTAAAGGACCAAAAGGGTCAAATAGTGAAGATTTGCTCAACTATATGTTATGGCACACCATTTTGAAGATTTCGCTTTGAACTCTTCTGAAATTAACTTTTGAAGGACCAAAAGGGCCAAATAGTGAAGATCAGCTCAACTATATGTTATCGCACACCATTTTGAAGATTTCGCTTTCAACTTTTTGAAAATCAACTTTTGAAGGACCAAAAGAGCCAAATAGTGAAGATTACCTCAACTATATGTTATGACACACCAATTTGAAGATTTCGCTGTAACGAAGGTACTCAGATTTGATTACTCTCAGGGGAGACATCCTGTATACTTAGTATAGAGAATAACTCTGATGATATTAACTTGGGTTAATGACAAGCTATCGGCGCCGTTCTTTTTCGTAACTGAATCATTTATTTCTCCGGGAGTAATACTGTGATTTGTTCGTGAGCGCGAATTAGAATTTTGGTAGGTTGGATCAATCAGTAATTAAATGATAGCGAAATAGAGATATCAGAAGCATAGTTGAGACTCACGGACGGCGGTCGGCTGCGCGATAGCGCAATTTTCGCCCCACTCTCGGGTGAGAGTGGGAATCCGAGGCGAGCTCCGTCGAGAGGAACCAAGAAAAGTCAGTTGTTGCTGACCGCATATACCGAATTACACGCTGAAGAATAAAATAGAAACCGCTAGACCGATCCGCTTGATACCGCAAGTGATTGAAGAATAATAATATACTTACTTAGGTGAGTCCGCTTGATATGCAAACGATAACAGTGCTGCTTGTGTAGGTTGCAAGAACGGATACCGCCGTTCTTGAGTTTGCTTAGATCTCGTGAGTTTCAATTTAGTTGAACAGCACGGCTTTATTACTGGGCTACGCTCGTGATAAGACGGTGTTGCCGGATGAATTGAAATTACGAAGATTCCGGATATCCAATTCAGTTTATCAGCACGGTTCTATTTCTGGGCTACGCTCGTAATAGGACGGTGTTGCCGGATGCATTGGAAAACCGGAGATCTTGGAAACTTTTATTCAGCTGAACAGCACGGCTTTATTACTGGGCTACGCTCGTAATAGGACGGTGTTGCCGGATGCATCAAAGTGTGGTAGACCTTAGAGACTTTGGTCCAACTGCACAGCACGGCTCTATTACTGGGCTACGCTCGTGATAGGACGGTGTTGCCAGATGGATTAAGGAGTACGGGAGTTCTGGAAATCTTCGATCCAATTGTACAGCACGGCTCTATTACTGGGCCACGCTCGTGATAGGACGGTGTTGCCAAGTGCATCGAAGAAAAGGAGATTACCTGTCGGAGTCAACCGAAGCACTGCAACTGCACTTTTGTTTTACTATTAACTGCTTGTGCTTGAAAATAAAAGTTTGATTTGAGCTGTAGAGCTAGAGGCTTTGTACTAGAGATGCTTTTCTAACCCTGCCTGTGTCAATAATTAGATTGCGTGCTTATTGCTTGATTGTATTTAATGTGTAGATTTTTCAGTGATAAATGCATTTTGCATTCCGCGTCAACAGAAGGTAATGATTTCTGGTTTCTTGGGGTAAATTTGTACATATACTGGGGAAGAGCCATAGGAACATAAATTATATTTAGGATAGTAGATCCACTAGATGATTGTGCAGTAGAGTTAAGGAATAAATCAAGTTAGTTGATATTGAGTTTCATTTTTGTTTTATAACAGAGCAGTTGGTAATCCGGGAAAAATCAAACCAATTATTGGGATCAACTTATCATTTTGAGAGATAGATATCAGACCCCTGAATTACCGTTTCTTCACTGAAAGCTGCCCGGTGCAAGTGGACCTACCACTATAATATAGGTGGCGCCCGAGTTAACATTTCTTGTAAATAATTATAGAACCCGCTTCAAGTGCCCGAATGAAGTCAAGGGTATCTTTAACCCTTTACATCGCTTTCAACTTTTCGAAAATCAACTTTCGAACGACCAAAGGGGCTAAATAGTGGGGATTCATAGGTATCACATGGAAGGTCTCGCAAGTCACAAATCTATTCCAATTCTAATACAGAATGTGTGTGTTTTTTTCCATTATATAAGTAGAGGAAAGTACCTATTATCGCTATTGTGAATAACAGATTCATCAATATAATACTGCTTATTTCAAAGTAGAAATCTGGTGATATAGATTTTTCACAATTATGAAGATTCTGCCACTTTCTTGAGTCTCCCACACTTTGATCTTGAGAAATAATTCTCAATTTATATACACTCGCATTTTCTGGTACGTCTACCATCGAAGTGAATAGATGTCCATTGTTTATTATTGTTGGTGACATTTCAGTCCATTCTGAAGGCCAGCTATCATTTTTCACACCATTTTCATCGAAGCGAATAAAAATATTTTCAGCATTATATGGCTGATTTATATACATTATATCATGTATAATCGCAAAGAGAACCAGAAAATTTGAATTCAACACTGCCATTGCTAATGAAGTACTGAGATATTTTCTCAAAGATTATATTGATGTACTCGGTGAATGAAACAACTCATTCATTCGAAAGAACATTTATCATAAATAGATTACAATTTGAGGTTATTCAGTTGTACTACGATCGCTTCACTGAAGCCTGCCCTTGGATCGGTCCGTTGTGCTGTCGGAATGAGGTGTTTGTCAACATGGAGATTTTTTATTCCTGTTGTACATTCGTAAATGTGGATTTGTTCTTCAAAAATTTTCAATTCCTGAATATATTCGTTGATCAAATCGGTTATCATATTGACTAGCAATATACAAATGGGAATTTTATTGTGGTAAAAGATCATTTATCCAATTGTGCAAGTCTTTACAGTTTCTGAAACTGCACATGTGCGGATCATTGTTTTCGTGATGCATGCATAAAGGAATGTCGGCCTTGAGAGTCACTGTGTGCATGAATGTATCTAAATTTTCGATGTTGATAATTTTGGGTCTATTAGTTGGTAAACACAATGAAGTGGGGAATTGAAACTTCTGGTGTCCTCTCACGTATACAAGGTCGACATCTCTGAGATGATCTTGCAATATTTCATTCATTTTCTCGTAATCTATGAACCCTGAGCTGTATTTGAGTTCATGATGGTAACGTTCCAACCACCTCACTTGTTTCTTATCCGCTTCCTGGAGTGCACCAAACGGAATAGCTGGTTTGAATGACTCAATTGAAAGCCATGCGAAATTGATATTTCCTTGGGGTAGAATTCGTTGGATATCCGGTACCCTCGAATATCGATATTCAACAGTTTCATCTTGCAATGTTTAAGTAATATCTGACACTTCATCAAAGTGGTTCTCATAATTATTTTTGTAGTGGGGGTTTTTCACAACTGTTTTGACAATTTCGGTGGGAGGACTATAAATGAACAACTTATGCAATATGAGAAAATACGCTGTTGTATTATCTGGTACTGCTTCAGATGTTTCAAACTCTATTCTCATCACGACAGACCCACTTTGGGTGGACTCTTTTTGATGTGAACAGTCTATGTGTGACATTGGTATGATTTCAGCAAATTCTCTCGGTGAAAATATTTGCTCTTTTCCAGATCCGTGATGAAATGGTCTGAAATTTGTAAACATAGAGTATAGCTGTGAAGTTTTGTTGTCATTGAAACTCAAATATAAGTCATTGTATAGGTATCGATCACTATTCAGGAAGACTCGAATATTTGCCAAGTTCCCCGCTTGTCAGTTTGGAATACAACAATGACATGGCGTGGAGTTTCCAATTTATTTGTGGTTTTCACTGGCCATGTGTGTCTGTTAGTAGTTAATAATTTCGGGAATTCGATGAGTCCCCAGCTACGGAATGGCATGAGTATTTCCTGGTTTTTCTGAACAATTTTGGTGTATATGAGCTGTTGTGGAATATTTACCTAGACGTGTGGTACCCTCCAGAATGATTAATCTATCTGTATTTTTGGGGTTTCCTTTTCATCAGAACTGTACACTGAATCTGTATCATCGTTATTACGAATTATTACTAATTCTTGTTTCATATTCACGATGACCTTCTGATAGTCTTCGAAGAATGAAAGACGAAGGTATGCAGAGGCTGAAGTTGCCTTCACCATCTACTAGTATCTTCTCATCTCTGAGCTTGAAATTCAACTTGGGAAACCAACCTGCGTTTTGCAACTCGATACTCTCGTTTGTGTTGTATGACGAGTAACCTTTAATTGTTGATATCATTCCGACATTTCGAACTGAATCTATGGTAACACCATTCAGTTAATACCTAACTCCTCTGAACAGGAAGTTTATAGCATTATTGATGAATCTCAATTTGTCGGTTGCAGTTCCATCGGATTTCGTCAAACGACCTTCGATATAAAGGTAACTTTGACAGGGCAGCGTAAACGTGTCTAACTCCTGTATAGATATCCTAATTTCATCATTATATTCGAATTTCTGTGAAAACGGCTGATAAGAATGATACTCTTTCTTGAATAAACCCTTGTAATGAGAATTGTAATTCTTTCAAAACAATTAATCTATCTATCCATCTATCTACTTAATAATTTGTGAGCTACAATCACTGTATAAATATTTGATGAGTTCAAGAGGGGGTCTCAGGCTACCATAGCTATCAGAATATTTGATACTTCATTGGGATCTGTTATAACAAACCCAATGGGTACCATCCCCACTCTTATCATCAAAATTAATTATACTACTTTCATGCTGTCTTATTTTCCTGGGTATCTCATCTAACATAAACACTCCAGTAAAGGTGCTATGTCTTTTCTGGCTATTTGGTGAGAGCGCCTTATGGAGATTCCCATGTTGAATTGTCCGAAAAAGCTAAGGTTAAAAATAGCGAAATTTGCTCATTCAAGGTCGCGCGTCGACTCTGGTTCACGAGCAATGGAGTGGAAGAGAAAGGCGGCTGATTGAGTACCGTGCTGAGGAAGAAAGGAGCAGGTGTATCAAATGTCAGTTTGTATAGGATACCTGAGACATTTCGATGTTATTGGATATAAATCAAACTGATAGTTCTCAGGCGCAAAGAATTATAAGGGAGCGAAAAGAAGGAGTAGACGATAGAAAATTGTATAATTAGCAAAGATATTGTATATTGGGCTCCGTGGCCGAGTTTGTCTATGCGCTGAAATTCGCCGTTCACGATGCAGAGGTACTGTCGGTTCGAATCCGACTATCGGCTGAGCATTTTTCTTTAAAATGTGTGATTCATGGTTGTAATTCTGGCAGCACCTCGATGCCCTAGAAGTGGTTTGGATTCCACTATAAGCTGTAGGTCCCGCTCTTCCTAACCCCGCACAAGTTTCGACTTCTGGGGAGTTGGTTCCCAACTTTGTTCTCAGTTTTTTCATACCTATCCCTTGATCATTTTATCATCAAATATTGACTATAAACGGTCCAGACTTCAAAAAAGAGGACATTTAACTTCCAAATAGAAAGAGATAGAGTACGAGAATAGCAGCTTCCAAAAAGAGTACTTGTACTATAAAAAGGGTACGTCTGGTCACCCTTGTCATACAATAAAACAGTAAATAATCATCTCGCACGTTCCCATATGCCTCTACTCTTCCTTTCATTTTATATATCGTCGATAGCTCCTTGATGAGTGCCCATAGTTCATATATTTCTTGAATGACAAGTACAATAATTTTTGAAAGATGTAGGTATTTTTTTTTTCAATGTTTCATTAGCTATATGATTATTCTCAATAGAACTCATAATTTCAAGTTGTTAATGCAAGTATTAATCACACATAAACAAAAAAAAACATGCACCTTGAAGCAATAACGTTGGGAGCATTAATAATTTTCCATCTTTCAAAAACAATTAATATATGAATATATACGATATCTAATTTCCGAAGCATTGCAATTATTTTATGAATCATAAAATGGATTCCATTTTGGAAAATTCAAGATTGAAGGTGCTCAAGGTCGAAACAAAAAATCCTGAGTGTTTGGGTTATAATTTTAATCAGAAATGATGAAATATTATACAATAAGTACCGATGATTGACTACGTTGGTCTGAGATCAAAACTCCACTCATTAGAATTCTTCTAACTATGATCGATTACATGATGAGGAAACGAGAAGAACTGCTGTAAAAAGGATATGATGATTTTGAAATTGATGATATTCTGAGAAATTTTGGAATAACGAAGGAGGGGAAAGGGTGTGAAGTCGGCTGTTGTGAAAACATCAATAACCTTCAAAATCTCAAACTTTGACTCCCAGTATATTGGAAACGAAGCTTCCATCTTATATGTTGACATTAACTTTTCATCATGAAGATATCTGTTCATCAAGCTGTTTAAGTCATGCTACAAAAACTTACTCACCCTGCATATTGGGCAAATGAGTGTGATAATATAATAGGAAAATTAACAATAGGTTACCAGAAAGAATATTAGCTCCTTCGATGTTGCGGAAACTAATCTTGGGTTGACAAAATGTATTTTTTCGTAGTGTATATTGTTTTCCTATTACTATATATTCCTCTCATCAAAATATTATGGTAATTTGTATGTTGTAGATAATCCTAATTAACGATAACTGAGTGCATTCACTATCACGTATCATATAATTAGAAATCGAACTTGTCGGGACATGCTTCTATAAGAGTGTATATATCAAGCCGCGATGCGATATAAGTTTATTTATTCAGAAATAGCCAGTGATTATATTTGTGCGTGCAGAGATAATACATAATATGTAAGTGCGCATTTTTTTGAATTATTGTTTAAAGTCTTCAGAGATTTTTTGTGAACCTTCGTTTGCCTTTCCAGGATATTGCTCATAACTGTAAGAGATAAAACAAGAGAATTGTTTTTCGTTCATATAAATAATGTTAAACACTTGGAATGTTGTAAAGTAACTTATTTTCATCAATTGATATCATCTAATTTTATATATTCCGATTCTGATTTTATCATACAGGCTGATTTCAAAATGAGTGCATATATTCAAGACATATATATGAGAGAGTCTAACAAAAATTACTAAAATATTTGATTTTTCCTGAGTCTTCACATTAACGAGAAATTTTATTCTGAAAATTGAACATAAAATGCTTCGAAATTCGAGTACGCCACTGGAAAGCAAGTGAAATCAGCGGAATCCCAGGGAATCTCCAATTCGTCATTCACTAACGTCAAAAAAAGACAGTGATGCCAGATTGTTTTAGAGACGAATGTCCTGATAAAAATTTGTCACAGAATGAATATGAATTGGAATAGGTTATGGAAACTAATAGAGGTGAATGTGATATGTACAGGAGCCTTATTTTTTAAAGTTCACTGAGAGAACTGTGGGGTGATTATCTCCATGGATCACGAGAGACGGAGGGAAACATGAGGGGAATGATAGAACGTCCCCCTTCCTTCAATTCGAAAATAAGGCCCCAGCGGGTAGATACAGAATTAGCAGACAATAAATAGGTATACAACATACACAAAGTTGAAAATCGACTCACCTAGTAGATTTTCTCATACCTGCTCGAACAGCAAAACTCCCGAGAGCAAACAAATACTAATATCGAGTCCATTCCAGACTAATATCGTCCTGTGTTCTTGTTGGTTCATATTCGCACTTAAACCATCGGAAACGACTCGACGACGACATATCCTTCCTGGCAATCTCACATTGAAAATCACGATTACGACCATATCACGATTATCACGACACAAGACACATCCAACATCCAATTATTTTATTTTTTATTTTACGTTTACAATTATTTTACAAACCAGCAACCACACAAACGAAAACTATTATCATATGATCTGTCAACATCATTTCTCAGACCAGTAGTATCTGTGACCATAGATTTCCTCTTTGCTGTGACCTTTGACAGTACTAACTAGAATTGTTCGCGTTCTATTACTATTTCACGAATATTGTTACGATATCACGATTTGTCATGAATCTATTACTATTTGCTATTAGCACCAAAATATGTTCCAATACTAAAAAATCTATTGCTGTGCTCAGCGGATAATTATGTTCCGTTCTATGTTCTATATTCATGTCAAAACTGTGATTAGTGCGATAAGGTTTGACAAGAATGACATTCCGAATGTCAAATGTCAGATTTTTCGAGTCTATTGCCTTTTGATACAAATCTGGTACCTTTTTCTAAAGAAATCTATTACGAAAATATCAGACCCAGGAACAACACTGACTAGTAAATGTGAAGTTTTGTTTCTGACAATTTGCTTGGAATGTGACGATGCATTTCTCAAACATTGAGCTAAATGATATGGTTCTTATGTCGGGTCGTTATTGTGCGGGGCCCATGAGACTCCTCGAAAGACACGAAATTGTAGCGATGCAAGGAGGTGGAAGGAAGGGTCTAAAGAATTTTTCAGTAAAAGAACTTCCAACCGTGAGGTGTTAAGTTATACGCTATTCGAGCTTATGTGTAGAAATCTTGGGTGAGTCCATTTTAAAATTTTTGTATTATCTTTCTGAAATTCAAGACCAGGGTTAACTTCTTCCCCATGTACATTTTCTCGATTATACATTTTATTTAATATCTCCTAATTTTCATGAAGAGTGGCAACGTCGCTTCGTTCATCATGGTCGACTGCGGATCGCAATTGATAGTTGTGACAGAAGTAGAAATCTGGGCGGAAAAAGGGTATTTCGCCCCAAATATATTTTGATCCTAATAATATTTTTAATAGTGCTATTCGGTAGTATACCTCAAGCTTTCTTAGTGTTTAAAATATATGCACTCATTTCAGAATCAGCCTGTATAGTTATCGTTCTAATAAGTCGATTGGATGAGTCATTAATTCGTTTCTCACTTTCTCTCATATATGTTACATTTTATCGAGCATTTTATGCTTTGATGACTAATTTTCCCTATGAATTTTGTGGAACTGGATGTCAACTTTTCTGAAATATATTCCTTACAACGTAATAGGGCTAGATTAGCCGAAGATACATTCAATTTACGGTAGAAAAAAAATATAATACACGAGAAGATTCGGCTACATATAAATGACTTTTATGCATCAAAATGATTTTGAGTTTGAAGGGAGCTACATTCTTTATGATTGCATAAACTTAACACATGTATTTAAGGTCAGGAGCGAAAACCTAATGGAAATATCGCAATCATCATAACATGAGAGGAGAGCATTATATCCATTGGCACACACAAAGAAAAAACATATTTCGAATAAGAGCAAAGTTTACTTATACTGAAATAAATGATGTACCTTGTTTGAATTATTAAAGAATATCTTTTTTCATTCTAGAAACAATGAAGTGAAATAACTAGTTTTCTGTGCAGTACAGGATTCAAAATTCAAATTCTGTGCACACTGGGTGCCTATTAAAACCGGAAATCGATAATTTCAAGTGATTTTATCAGATATTATTTTTCCGCTACGCGTCGAGAGACAACACAACCTGGATCTGAAATCTACTACTTTTTTCCCTTGTATAATAAATAACTATTCTCCTTTGATCAGCTCTTCCATTTTCCAATTTTCAATAATTTGAACTAGAATAAAAAAAATATGCGGTCTCAATCACTTTCCTAATAATGAAAATTGTTTATGCTGAAATGCATGATGTTCCTCGATAAAATAAATTTTTCTACAATCGGCTCAAAAATCGTCCATTTTTGGTCCAAAATTAGCTCTTGAAGTTGACACAATAGAATGGTCAGTATGCATGTTGCTAGGCAACACTTTCAGTGTTTAGGAGCTAAAGTTGAAGTTTAAATCCTAGGAACTAAAAACGTGTCGGATGACAGCTGATATGATAGCTGCTTTGACAATGTCATGCTCAAGTGACTCAAAATAGTGGTATCTTCACCTATATTCCATTAATTAGAAATCAATTATTTCGATTGAAGAAAAAATAGCATGTCTCATTCGAATCAAAAGTGACTTTGTTTGACTTGCGAAATTTGCGTGATGAATGTTTTGATGAAATTATTCGACAAGACAATG